CAGAGGTTAGAATGGGTGGGCTAACAGGTATGTGTGCATGTTTGTTATCCAAGCCAGCCGAGGTATTTATTCTGTCCCACCCTCCCAGAGGACGAAGGCTGTGATTCGTGGCTCTTTTCTCTCACTTGTAACACCAGAGGTATAACTTACATCATCATGCTGCATCTGATCAATGCCTCGGTGCTCACAACTCAAAGGTGATTTTTGAAGCACTTTGTTACACTGGAGACAATTCCTAAGTCCTCAAGCTTCTTTTCTTCCCTCACCTTGGAGCCTTGAGCTCTGCAGATCATCCTGACTTTGCCAGCTCGGTCAGCTGGCAGCGCAGCTGAATTAAATTAAGTTTAGATTCCACTGTAGCATGGGCCAAGGAACAGGCTTCCCACTCCCACCACTGACAGAAACTATTTTAATATTTTTAAAGAAATTGCTAACCATTAATATCACTTAAAAGCTAGGGTATTTGACAGAAGCTAGATGTCTCATAGAAATTTTCTGTTGAAATATAATTTCATCTACAGTAACATCATCCAATTATCAAAACCTTTTTCCAACTGAATTGATAAGCTTTTTATCCGCAGTTCTGAAATCTGATTCATTATAAGATACATAGGGAAGAAAATGATGTCATACAACAAGCTTCTTCATGGCTAGCAGTTCCCTAGATGTCTGAGGTAATTGGAAAATTCAAGGCTGGTCCCTAGAGTGCATATAATTTATCCAACAGGTCTGAAAGAAGGTTGATATTTTTTTCCAAGTGGTGTTTGTTTAAATGACAAATATCAAGGCATGGGGGACGGCAAGTCTAGCTTGTAGAACTAGATACCAAAGCAATCCAAACTAAAAATTCTACCAATTAGATCTTTATTCAGTAAATAAAATTATTAAGCCTTTACTATGCACCAAGAACTGCACATCGTGGGAACAATGTAGTTAAATGTCAAATCCCTGCCTTCACAGAGCTTACAGTCTAATATGAAGGGAGAGACATTAAACAAATAGAATATATGTTAGATGGCGAAGAAGCTAAGTAAAGGGACTAAGGAGTCCTGGGGTGGGGAGTTGCTTTTTATACAGAGTAGTTAAGGACCTTCCTCTCCAATAAGGTGGTATTTGACGTAAGAGCAGAAACATGAGGGAAATGAGGGAGTGAGCATTGCAAATGGAGGGGCAGTGATAAAGGTTGCCGGAGAGTATTTAGAAGTTTGAAGAGCCCCAGGCCGGCCAGTTTGGATGGAGAGTTGGGTGGGTCAGAAATGAGAGAGAAGCAGGGATCCTACATTAAGTATCACGCAGGATCCCACGTGCTGATGTAAAGACTGGCTTTGTCCTAAGGTGGGAGGCTGCTGGAGGGTGGTTAGCAGAAGTGGCGTGACCTGAAGTATTTTAAAATGACGTCTCCGACTGTTGAGAACAGATCATAGGAGGATACAGGAAGAAGCAGAGAGACTACTTAGAAAGCAGAAGTCCAGGTGCAAAGACTTGGTATACTGTCCTAGACCAGGAGGGTAGCAGTGCAGACGGGTCAGTGCTCAGCACAACACACTGAAGGAGTGGCTGGTGGGGTTCGCAGCAGATCAGATGTGCCTGAGAGGGGAGTCAGGGATGTTTCCAAGACTACTGAATCTACCACCTGTAAGAATGGATTTGGACGTCCCTTTTAAAGACAAGAAGACAGCAGGAGCAGTAGTGTGGTGGCACAGGGAGGTGGGAATGAGAATTGGAAATGGGGAGTTCTATTTTGGACATCTTACATTTGAGGTGCCTGTGGTACATTCAAGTGGAGATGTTAAGAAATCTACTGGACCTAATCCTTTGGAATTTGAAGCTGGAGATAATTTGGGGAATTATCAGTGTATAAATGGTATTTAAAGTCATGAGAGGACAAGATCATCTAGGGAGCGGGAGGAAACAAATGAAAGTACTAATCCTTGGTGCTCCCCGGTGTGTGGAGACTGGAGAGATGAGAAGGAACTAGCAAAGAAGTCCAACAAGGGAAAGTCAAAGAGGTAGGATTAAGAAGACTGATGCCACATAAATCTAGTGAAGAAAATGTTCTAGTGAGAGAAAAGTGATCAGCTGTGTGAAATGCTATTGATAGGTCAAAAAGGATAAACATTGAGAACTGACCACTAGACTCCATAAAGTGGATATTTACTGGTGACCTTGAGGAGAGCTGTTTCAGTGGAGTGGTGAGGAAAGACTGACTGGAATACATCCAAGAGAATGCAAAGCAGGGGAAGTAAAGACAGCAAACAGTTGTTTTTGAGGTCTTTTTAAAGGGAAGCAGAAAAATGGAGCCAACTGTCAAAGGGGAATGAACATACTGTGTTTCCCCCAAATTCATAGATTGAAGCCTTAGTCCCTAATGTGACTGTATTTGAAGATAGGGCCTTTAAGGAGAGATAATTACGGTTAAATAAGTTAATAAGGGTCAGTCCTAAATAAGTAGGCCTGGCTCTTATAAAAAGAGGAAGAGACACTGAGTGCACAGGCATAGAGAAAAGGCCATGTGAGGAACAGAAGCTGGCCCTCTGCAAGCCCAGGAGAGAAGCCTCAGGAGAAGCCAATCCTGCTGGCACCTTGATCTTGGACTTCGACCTTCAGAACTATGAATTAATTTCTGTTGTTTAAGCCACCCAGTCTGGTATTTTGTCATGGCAGCCCTAGCAGATTAATACTAAAATCAAAAGAAACCTGTTTTTTAAGATGGGGAATATTGTAGGATGTTTATGTTTTGAAATGAGCAATCCAGTAGATGGGAACATTACTGGAATGTTCTGGGTTGTAGAGATGGAACAAGATTTAGTATACAGGTATAGAAGTTCACTAAAACAATATAGGTACATTTGTAGATGTGGGAGGACAGGGAAATTCTCTTCTTAATCCTTTTATTTTCTTGGCCAAATAGTAAGCAAGGTCACAAGTGAAGAAGGGGAAGTGGGATGGAAACTGGAGTTTGAGAAGAAAGTATAGGTAATTGTCCTGGAAAGTGGGAGAGTAAATGGACTAGAGGTGTTGTCAGACTATTGGGCAATTCTGAGAGCCCACTGAAATTACTGGCCAAAGATTTAAAGTGAGACTAGTCATGTTTTTGTGTATTTCTCCAGATCAGTGAATTGGGTTAGATGAAGAGATGGCTCTAACCTGGGGTTTTGCCAGAGCTCCCTCTGTCATGCAAAAGGAGTGATTATAATTATGGTCTCTAGAATCCAAGCTGATTAAGGCCCAAGGAAAGGACATGGGTCAGGAAGTGAGACGAATAATGAGAATGTGGTAGAGTCACTGTATTGTGGGTTTCAGGGAGGTAGGAGAATCAATAGGCTACTATAGTGGGTGAGCTGGAAAAAGGGAAGAATTTGGTTGGAGGATTCTTGAAATTGAGATTATGAAAAGGGTTCAATTGGAATCAGGGTCTAAAGTATGACTGGCTCTATGGCTAAGGGAAGGGAAAGAAGAATATTAGAGAATTGGTCATGGAATTAAGTCTGTGGATATTGAATTACTCTAAGATTGAGGAGTACTACTAGAATAACAGCAAACTTGGTGAAAATCTTCAAGGAATGAGTGGGAATGACATGGAGCTCTGTAGACGGCTGAACCATGGAAGGGTAGTAACTTGTTTGAAGGCATGAGCTTTAAGGCTGGCCATTTTTAGAAAAGGAGGAGGGGTAATGGTCTAGAACAGGATTTTTCTCATCAGCGGTGTTATTAACATTTTGGATTGAATAATTCTGTGTGGAAAGTTGTTCTGAATTGAGTAGCTCTCCTGACGTCTACCCAATAGATGCTTGTAGCAGTCTGCTCCCAGCAGTGGCAAGGAAAAATGTCTTCAAGACTTTACTAAGTGTCCCTTGGGCTGCAAAATCTCATTTTTGAGAACCACAGATCTTAAAGCAGGAGTGATGTGCTAACAGGACACCTACCTGACCTCTGGGCTCTTGATATTAAGGGGTGAGGAAGAGCAGATAGCTAATAATTTGAGAGGGTTACAGGGCCATCAGTGCCTTCTGGGAAGTCCAGATTTTGATCAGAGAGAGGCTGAAGCGAATCTTTCTAGAAAAGGGTGAGAATATAGAAAATATTTTAGTGTTTACAGCTATAATGTAGCTAACATCAGCCTTGAGGAAATGTATTCCATGATGACCTGATAGTCAATGTGTTTGATCTAATTACCTCACTTCCTTTGCCTAACCCAGTTCACTAAATGAGTCACCCACTTCTTAATGGATCTTATAACGCAGATTTCAATGATGATATTTAATTCATGCTGGGTTTCTCCTATATTAGAAATCAAGAGTCCCAGAAGGACACACGAAGTATACAAAGCAAGGACCTTGGCAGGGCTGAGGCACAGCCCTGTCTGCTCCTTCCAAGAATGCTCTTCAGACTTACCAGCAAAACAGGCACACTCTAGAAGCCAGAGCTTCTAGTTATGTCCTAGGCATACAGACACAAGTGAAGACTAATCTATAAAAAACGAGGGTTGAAAGATGTGAGGAGGATAAAGGTATCTAGATTGCCTGGCATTAGTAGAACTGCAATAAATTTATGAGGTTCTATTTCAACAGGATTTCCCTTTATTTGCTTACTGCCTGTGTGCCCTTGACTAAACAGTAACCTTCAAGGCTCTGGGGGTATGAAATGAATATGGCATAGAAGGGGAGGGGCACTGCCACCTAAACAGCGAGATCACATCATAATCCATTTAAAGTGTGACAGCAAGAGGGATACAATGAAAAGAGGTTTTTATTTTCTGAGGAAATACCAGTAATATGTAACATTTAACAAGTTATGTGTAAAATATAAGGACTTAACTGCCTTGATCTCTACGTGCCAATGGCATAGCTACCTCCATGCCCATACAAGAGAAAAGGGAACCTCCTTTGATGTAGAAAGAGCACTGCCAACCTATTAAGAGAAAGGTAGTGGTGGCCTCTTGGGCTCAACCATCCGTGCACACAATCGGGTAAGTCACAAAGTAGTGGAACATAAGAGTGTAGGATAAGGCACTTTGTTTTTAATTCTATCAGTTTCTTGAGAAAATTATTTAAGGTCTGGGGTCCATACCCAAGAGGCCATCAGAGCGCCACAGTCCTGAGTAGGCTCCTTGGTGTGCTCTGCCCACCTGTCCAGGTGCATTCCGACTTCTCAGTAAACTTCCCACAGCATGACCAGTGGGGACGACCTGGGTGGCCTTTGTGTCCATGGCCACAGCCTAAGTACCCACCTGCATGGTACATGAGGAGAGGATAAAACAGCCATCAGAGTGAAGTCCAGTTTACTGTGGAAATTAATGCTCCTGGCATCATTCAGACTCATGTCTACGAAAACGTTGAGTAAAAGCCCAGCAAGGGAATGAGCTACATGACACCTCTATGCTTAGGACTCCCAAAACTGATGATTCAAATCAATCACTGTTAGTTAGCTAATGTTCTAAGAAGAGTTATTTTAACACTCTGCTAACTCAAGAAGATGAACTGGTTTGGATTTTAACTGTAAAGTTATTGAAGTAAAAGAGAAGGGTACAGTGGTAGAAATAAAAAAGGTAGATCCTTAAGTATTTATATGAAAGTGTGCAAAAGCCTACATAAGGCCCACATTAGCATAAGGACATGGTAGAATACTTTAAAAAAACTTAGATCTCTTGTTGAGCTGAATCTCCTCCTCCCCCCAAGAAAAGAGGTAGACCTGGCCTGGTTGGTTTAATCATCTACTCCTCCATCCCTGCCTTGCATGGAATTTCTTTAAAGTTTTGAAAGGAACAGGATGGGTTTACATTTTACACACTGTTGGCTGTTAGAATAGATTGAAATCAAGCGTCCCAGGAAGAAACGGCTCAAAGGACTGGTGAACTGTATCAAAACTAAAATAACTCAAAACCTTTAAGCATACTCTTTCAATTTTTCAGAACAAAGAAGCCTTAAATGGAACTTTTAGAACTGTGGTATATTTATATGCACGGACTTTATTCCTAGAAACAAAGCCTAAGCCTGAATGTCCTAGCTAGCCCTAGTGGCCGAGTGGTAGTTGATTCCCAGGGCTGGGAGACAGGCTCAGAAGGTAAGGACTTTTAGGAGGGAGGTCCTCCTCACCTGGCATGGTGCCTCCACAGGCACAGCGGGCAGTTTTCTGGCCTCCGCTGGAGCAGAAAGTGCAGCAGTGAAACACCCCCAGGTGTGGGCGGTGCCTTTTCCTCACTGTCACAGTGAATGGTGAGCCCTTCAGTGTTCAGATCAAGAGCAAAGAACAACACCTTATGAGTCAACAGGATGTGCTGAGCATCTCATATGCTCAGTGGACTGTCAGTCACAGGGCCTGCCCTTGGAAGGACAAGGATAGCCAGAGAGGAACAGTCTAGGTAACTAGCTGGCAGCTCAGCTGGATGGGACCAGACACAAATTCAGTGAACACCTAATACCCTGCTAAGCCTAGTCTGCTTTCCTGTTACTGACTTCATCCTGTCTTCTCCATTCTTGAGGAATCTCTGGGGCAACCACAAGGCTAGGACCTCCTATGGCCCTTTCTCCACTTTCTTGGCCACACATTGCTCCTCACACCGAGCCTATCTCTTTTTCTTCCACCTCCCCTCCAGCCTGGACCTATCGGTTTACCCATTTGATCTTCTGATTGTCTCTATTGCCCAATGAAGTGGCTTCTGGATTAAAATGTTTTCATATGTAAAAATGAAATTAGGGTCAGTTATAAAGTACCATGAGAGTCAGCAGCTAGGGGACAGAAATGGAAATGAAAGTACAGCCTAGCCCTTAGGAAGGGAGCAGGGGAGATAGACGTGCAGCCATACAGTGTCTTTACTATTTTAAGTTATTTTTATCTAGAATCCTTAGCTAAATCTGAGTGTAGGTAGAGATGTTTTAAAGGAAGGATGGGGCAAATACTTTTACTGCTTAATTAACTCATACATTAATTCAAAGATATAAAGTGTGCCAGGCACTGCTGTGCATGAAAATACAAGTGTAAACAAAACCAAAAACAACCCTGTCTTCTTGAGGCTCACAGTCGAGTAGGAGAGCCAGGCATGAATCAGATCACCTAAGGCTGTGAAGTGGGGAGCGCTGCCATGAGAGGTGTGTGTAGCCAGGAGGGCTTAGAACAGGGATTGGACCTATTTAGGGAAGACTTCTTCAAGGAACTGATGAAGGAATTGAAATCAATATGTAGATGCTAAGAAGGCAAAGAATGAAGGCCTCTTCTAATATTCTGCTTTTAATTAGCATTGACTTCTTAGTTTAGACAAACCTCACACACAGGTACACATACTCTGGAGTAAAGCTGGGGACTGTTGCATTTCAGAGGTTAGAATGGGTGGGCTAACAGGTATGTGTGCATGTTTGTTATCCAAGCCAGCCGAGGTATTTATTCTGTCCCACCCTCCCAGAGGACGAAGGCTGTGATTCGTGGCTCTTTTCTCTCACTTGTAACACCAGAGGTATAACTTACATCATCATGCTGCATCTGATCAATGCCTCGGTGCTCACAACTCAAAGGTGATTTTTGAAGCACTTTGTTACACTGGAGACAATTCCTAAGTCCTCAAGCTTCTTTTCTTCCCTCACCTTGGAGCCTTGAGCTCTGCAGATCATCCTGACTTTGCCAGCTCGGTCAGCTGGCAGCGCAGCTGAATTAAATTAAGTTTAGATTCCACTGTAGCATGGGCCAAGGAACAGGCTTCCCACTCCCACCACTGACAGAAACTATTTTAATATTTTTAAAGAAATTGCTAACCATTAATATCACTTAAAAGCTAGGGTATTTGACAGAAGCTAGATGTCTCATAGAAATTTTCTGTTGAAATATAATTTCATCTACAGTAACATCATCCAATTATCAAAACCTTTTTCCAACTGAATTGATAAGCTTTTTATCCGCAGTTCTGAAATCTGATTCATTATAAGATACATAGGGAAGAAAATGATGTCATACAACAAGCTTCTTCATGGCTAGCAGTTCCCTAGATGTCTGAGGTAATTGGAAAATTCAAGGCTGGTCCCTAGAGTGCATATAATTTATCCAACAGGTCTGAAAGAAGGTTGATATTTTTTTCCAAGTGGTGTTTGTTTAAATGACAAATATCAAGGCATGGGGGACGGCAAGTCTAGCTTGTAGAACTAGATACCAAAGCAATCCAAACTAAAAATTCTACCAATTAGATCTTTATTCAGTAAATAAAATTATTAAGCCTTTACTATGCACCAAGAACTGCACATCGTGGGAACAATGTAGTTAAATGTCAAATCCCTGCCTTCACAGAGCTTACAGTCTAATATGAAGGGAGAGACATTAAACAAATAGAATATATGTTAGATGGCGAAGAAGCTAAGTAAAGGGACTAAGGAGTCCTGGGGTGGGGAGTTGCTTTTTATACAGAGTAGTTAAGGACCTTCCTCTCCAATAAGGTGGTATTTGACGTAAGAGCAGAAACATGAGGGAAATGAGGGAGTGAGCATTGCAAATGGAGGGGCAGTGATAAAGGTTGCCGGAGAGTATTTAGAAGTTTGAAGAGCCCCAGGCCGGCCAGTTTGGATGGAGAGTTGGGTGGGTCAGAAATGAGAGAGAAGCAGGGATCCTACATTAAGTATCACGCAGGATCCCACGTGCTGATGTAAAGACTGGCTTTGTCCTAAGGTGGGAGGCTGCTGGAGGGTGGTTAGCAGAAGTGGCGTGACCTGAAGTATTTTAAAATGACGTCTCCGACTGTTGAGAACAGATCATAGGAGGATACAGGAAGAAGCAGAGAGACTACTTAGAAAGCAGAAGTCCAGGTGCAAAGACTTGGTATACTGTCCTAGACCAGGAGGGTAGCAGTGCAGACGGGTCAGTGCTCAGCACAACACACTGAAGGAGTGGCTGGTGGGGTTCGCAGCAGATCAGATGTGCCTGAGAGGGGAGTCAGGGATGTTTCCAAGACTACTGAATCTACCACCTGTAAGAATGGATTTGGACGTCCCTTTTAAAGACAAGAAGACAGCAGGAGCAGTAGTGTGGTGGCACAGGGAGGTGGGAATGAGAATTGGAAATGGGGAGTTCTATTTTGGACATCTTACATTTGAGGTGCCTGTGGTACATTCAAGTGGAGATGTTAAGAAATCTACTGGACCTAATCCTTTGGAATTTGAAGCTGGAGATAATTTGGGGAATTATCAGTGTATAAATGGTATTTAAAGTCATGAGAGGACAAGATCATCTAGGGAGCGGGAGGAAACAAATGAAAGTACTAATCCTTGGTGCTCCCCGGTGTGTGGAGACTGGAGAGATGAGAAGGAACTAGCAAAGAAGTCCAACAAGGGAAAGTCAAAGAGGTAGGATTAAGAAGACTGATGCCACATAAATCTAGTGAAGAAAATGTTCTAGTGAGAGAAAAGTGATCAGCTGTGTGAAATGCTATTGATAGGTCAAAAAGGATAAACATTGAGAACTGACCACTAGACTCCATAAAGTGGATATTTACTGGTGACCTTGAGGAGAGCTGTTTCAGTGGAGTGGTGAGGAAAGACTGACTGGAATACATCCAAGAGAATGCAAAGCAGGGGAAGTAAAGACAGCAAACAGTTGTTTTTGAGGTCTTTTTAAAGGGAAGCAGAAAAATGGAGCCAACTGTCAAAGGGGAATGAACATACTGTGTTTCCCCCAAATTCATAGATTGAAGCCTTAGTCCCTAATGTGACTGTATTTGAAGATAGGGCCTTTAAGGAGAGATAATTACGGTTAAATAAGTTAATAAGGGTCAGTCCTAAATAAGTAGGCCTGGCTCTTATAAAAAGAGGAAGAGACACTGAGTGCACAGGCATAGAGAAAAGGCCATGTGAGGAACAGAAGCTGGCCCTCTGCAAGCCCAGGAGAGAAGCCTCAGGAGAAGCCAATCCTGCTGGCACCTTGATCTTGGACTTCGACCTTCAGAACTATGAATTAATTTCTGTTGTTTAAGCCACCCAGTCTGGTATTTTGTCATGGCAGCCCTAGCAGATTAATACTAAAATCAAAAGAAACCTGTTTTTTAAGATGGGGAATATTGTAGGATGTTTATGTTTTGAAATGAGCAATCCAGTAGATGGGAACATTACTGGAATGTTCTGGGTTGTAGAGATGGAACAAGATTTAGTATACAGGTATAGAAGTTCACTAAAACAATATAGGTACATTTGTAGATGTGGGAGGACAGGGAAATTCTCTTCTTAATCCTTTTATTTTCTTGGCCAAATAGTAAGCAAGGTCACAAGTGAAGAAGGGGAAGTGGGATGGAAACTGGAGTTTGAGAAGAAAGTATAGGTAATTGTCCTGGAAAGTGGGAGAGTAAATGGACTAGAGGTGTTGTCAGACTATTGGGCAATTCTGAGAGCCCACTGAAATTACTGGCCAAAGATTTAAAGTGAGACTAGTCATGTTTTTGTGTATTTCTCCAGATCAGTGAATTGGGTTAGATGAAGAGATGGCTCTAACCTGGGGTTTTGCCAGAGCTCCCTCTGTCATGCAAAAGGAGTGATTATAATTATGGTCTCTAGAATCCAAGCTGATTAAGGCCCAAGGAAAGGACATGGGTCAGGAAGTGAGACGAATAATGAGAATGTGGTAGAGTCACTGTATTGTGGGTTTCAGGGAGGTAGGAGAATCAATAGGCTACTATAGTGGGTGAGCTGGAAAAAGGGAAGAATTTGGTTGGAGGATTCTTGAAATTGAGATTATGAAAAGGGTTCAATTGGAATCAGGGTCTAAAGTATGACTGGCTCTATGGCTAAGGGAAGGGAAAGAAGAATATTAGAGAATTGGTCATGGAATTAAGTCTGTGGATATTGAATTACTCTAAGATTGAGGAGTACTACTAGAATAACAGCAAACTTGGTGAAAATCTTCAAGGAATGAGTGGGAATGACATGGAGCTCTGTAGACGGCTGAACCATGGAAGGGTAGTAACTTGTTTGAAGGCATGAGCTTTAAGGCTGGCCATTTTTAGAAAAGGAGGAGGGGTAATGGTCTAGAACAGGATTTTTCTCATCAGCGGTGTTATTAACATTTTGGATTGAATAATTCTGTGTGGAAAGTTGTTCTGAATTGAGTAGCTCTCCTGACGTCTACCCAATAGATGCTTGTAGCAGTCTGCTCCCAGCAGTGGCAAGGAAAAATGTCTTCAAGACTTTACTAAGTGTCCCTTGGGCTGCAAAATCTCATTTTTGAGAACCACAGATCTTAAAGCAGGAGTGATGTGCTAACAGGACACCTACCTGACCTCTGGGCTCTTGATATTAAGGGGTGAGGAAGAGCAGATAGCTAATAATTTGAGAGGGTTACAGGGCCATCAGTGCCTTCTGGGAAGTCCAGATTTTGATCAGAGAGAGGCTGAAGCGAATCTTTCTAGAAAAGGGTGAGAATATAGAAAATATTTTAGTGTTTACAGCTATAATGTAGCTAACATCAGCCTTGAGGAAATGTATTCCATGATGACCTGATAGTCAATGTGTTTGATCTAATTACCTCACTTCCTTTGCCTAACCCAGTTCACTAAATGAGTCACCCACTTCTTAATGGATCTTATAACGCAGATTTCAATGATGATATTTAATTCATGCTGGGTTTCTCCTATATTAGAAATCAAGAGTCCCAGAAGGACACACGAAGTATACAAAGCAAGGACCTTGGCAGGGCTGAGGCACAGCCCTGTCTGCTCCTTCCAAGAATGCTCTTCAGACTTACCAGCAAAACAGGCACACTCTAGAAGCCAGAGCTTCTAGTTATGTCCTAGGCATACAGACACAAGTGAAGACTAATCTATAAAAAACGAGGGTTGAAAGATGTGAGGAGGATAAAGGTATCTAGATTGCCTGGCATTAGTAGAACTGCAATAAATTTATGAGGTTCTATTTCAACAGGATTTCCCTTTATTTGCTTACTGCCTGTGTGCCCTTGACTAAACAGTAACCTTCAAGGCTCTGGGGGTATGAAATGAATATGGCATAGAAGGGGAGGGGCACTGCCACCTAAACAGCGAGATCACATCATAATCCATTTAAAGTGTGACAGCAAGAGGGATACAATGAAAAGAGGTTTTTATTTTCTGAGGAAATACCAGTAATATGTAACATTTAACAAGTTATGTGTAAAATATAAGGACTTAACTGCCTTGATCTCTACGTGCCAATGGCATAGCTACCTCCATGCCCATACAAGAGAAAAGGGAACCTCCTTTGATGTAGAAAGAGCACTGCCAACCTATTAAGAGAAAGGTAGTGGTGGCCTCTTGGGCTCAACCATCCGTGCACACAATCGGGTAAGTCACAAAGTAGTGGAACATAAGAGTGTAGGATAAGGCACTTTGTTTTTAATTCTATCAGTTTCTTGAGAAAATTATTTAAGGTCTGGGGTCCATACCCAAGAGGCCATCAGAGCGCCACAGTCCTGAGTAGGCTCCTTGGTGTGCTCTGCCCACCTGTCCAGGTGCATTCCGACTTCTCAGTAAACTTCCCACAGCATGACCAGTGGGGACGACCTGGGTGGCCTTTGTGTCCATGGCCACAGCCTAAGTACCCACCTGCATGGTACATGAGGAGAGGATAAAACAGCCATCAGAGTGAAGTCCAGTTTACTGTGGAAATTAATGCTCCTGGCATCATTCAGACTCATGTCTACGAAAACGTTGAGTAAAAGCCCAGCAAGGGAATGAGCTACATGACACCTCTATGCTTAGGACTCCCAAAACTGATGATTCAAATCAATCACTGTTAGTTAGCTAATGTTCTAAGAAGAGTTATTTTAACACTCTGCTAACTCAAGAAGATGAACTGGTTTGGATTTTAACTGTAAAGTTATTGAAGTAAAAGAGAAGGGTACAGTGGTAGAAATAAAAAAGGTAGATCCTTAAGTATTTATATGAAAGTGTGCAAAAGCCTACATAAGGCCCACATTAGCATAAGGACATGGTAGAATACTTTAAAAAAACTTAGATCTCTTGTTGAGCTGAATCTCCTCCTCCCCCCAAGAAAAGAGGTAGACCTGGCCTGGTTGGTTTAATCATCTACTCCTCCATCCCTGCCTTGCATGGAATTTCTTTAAAGTTTTGAAAGGAACAGGATGGGTTTACATTTTACACACTGTTGGCTGTTAGAATAGATTGAAATCAAGCGTCCCAGGAAGAAACGGCTCAAAGGACTGGTGAACTGTATCAAAACTAAAATAACTCAAAACCTTTAAGCATACTCTTTCAATTTTTCAGAACAAAGAAGCCTTAAATGGAACTTTTAGAACTGTGGTATATTTATATGCACGGACTTTATTCCTAGAAACAAAGCCTAAGCCTGAATGTCCTAGCTAGCCCTAGTGGCCGAGTGGTAGTTGATTCCCAGGGCTGGGAGACAGGCTCAGAAGGTAAGGACTTTTAGGAGGGAGGTCCTCCTCACCTGGCATGGTGCCTCCACAGGCACAGCGGGCAGTTTTCTGGCCTCCGCTGGAGCAGAAAGTGCAGCAGTGAAACACCCCCAGGTGTGGGCGGTGCCTTTTCCTCACTGTCACAGTGAATGGTGAGCCCTTCAGTGTTCAGATCAAGAGCAAAGAACAACACCTTATGAGTCAACAGGATGTGCTGAGCATCTCATATGCTCAGTGGACTGTCAGTCACAGGGCCTGCCCTTGGAAGGACAAGGATAGCCAGAGAGGAACAGTCTAGGTAACTAGCTGGCAGCTCAGCTGGATGGGACCAGACACAAATTCAGTGAACACCTAATACCCTGCTAAGCCTAGTCTGCTTTCCTGTTACTGACTTCATCCTGTCTTCTCCATTCTTGAGGAATCTCTGGGGCAACCACAAGGCTAGGACCTCCTATGGCCCTTTCTCCACTTTCTTGGCCACACATTGCTCCTCACACCGAGCCTATCTCTTTTTCTTCCACCTCCCCTCCAGCCTGGACCTATCGGTTTACCCATTTGCTTACACTGAGATGCATGCAAGGGAGAAGGGCTGAGTGTGTGGTTAATAACTCTTACATTAGATGCTCTCCTACCTAACCCCTTTCCTTCAAGGATAGCCTCCATTACCTATTTCTATCCTATGTTAAACAATAAATATTTAATAGGTGTTGCTATGTGCCTATCCCTATGTGAGAACCACACAGTCTGGCAAAAGCACAAAGTAGAGTCTGGCAACTTGGAAGCCTTTCAGATGTTAAGTTTCTCTTCCTTTAAAGAATTTATAATCTTTTTAAAACAACTTGTAGCTCAAAGAAATAGGTTCAGAATGATTTGCTGTATTGGTACTGTGTATTTCAGCAAATTTGGTATCTTAGTATAATTAGATGATGACCTCTGTGCTTACATGGTTTGAAAGAAAAGTGGAATAATGTATGCAAAAACCTTAACCCACTCTGCCATAATGTAGTTAGGCATGTAATAAGTGTCTATTGACTATGAGTGATCCTAGTGCAGAGACCACAAGTCTAACGTATCATGACAGTGTGGTATTTATTGTCCCTTTCAGTGTTGATTTCTGGTGGGGGGAACGTCTGACTACTGGAATGTCAGCAGAGAGATTCTGCTGGGCATGCTGAATATTACCTAATTTTTAAAAATTCATAATCTTTAAACCAGAAGGTGTTACACTTATCTGTGGAGGAGATGTAGTAACCACAGTAACAGATAAACATCTAAATAAACAGAGCAGAGAATTTCGAGAGCAGATGGGTAGTTAGGCAGACAGATAACTGATCAGTTGTGAGGAGAGGGAGTGACTCTCCCGGTTATGTTCCAGTGAGTCCATGTGTGGTCACAGTCTGAATAAGGCTGGAAAATTCTGCACTACATCCTATTTCCTGAATTCATATGCTTGTCTGCTGGAAGACTGCTCCTGCAATCAAGGCATCTTTCCCAAATTAAGAATTCCAACAAACCATCTGGAAGAATGGTAACTGCAAGCATAACTGCTGGGGGTTAAATAGGGACAGAGGGTCCTATGGTCATTAGCATCTCCTAATACGAATAAAAGTAGTAAAATCTGGTCATTTCTAGAGTGAAGAGAAGAAAGAAAGGAAGAGAATCCTATTCAGTCCCTCTATACAGCTGTTCCTATGAGAAGTGTCTCCACACCCTAAGATGAGAGAAGCCAGAGGCAAGGGCAAAAGGAGCTCAGGGAAGCTAGGGTCTTTCTCACCTGCACGTGCTGCTCTTTGACACAGACCAGCACAGTATAGATGCCAGGTTCCCTGGGGGTGTAGGAAATGTAGTATGTCCCGTCCTTGTTATCTTGCACCATTGTTCTGACTGGACTGAATGGAGAATAAGGGGTCAAAAAAACCACTAACTCTTCCAGGCCTGCTTCAGTTGCCCACATTTTAGGACATAAACTCTACACCATTCAATTCAATATTAATTTTAAATGTGCCCAAGCAGGATGCTGCTTCTACTTACCTTGAAAAGTAATTTTACAATAGAAGGGAAGCAACAGAAATACTAATTTAATCTGATGTGCAGATGAATTCTTTGAAAACACTGTGTTCTCTTCAAACTTCCATTCAAAGGAGAGCTTCTGTTGTCCCCTTCTGCTCTTTGACCTTCCTCCTCCCTCCCCTAATTTCAGAGACATAAGTATGCTCCCAGCACAATTTAATAGCAAAGGGGGACTGAATTTTGAGAAGGGTACCATTCAGTCTAACAGAACATTTTTCAGTCTCTAGTATCAAAGCTTGGGAATGAAGACAATCTGGGGCAGATCAGACTTTTTGGGAGAGAACTGAATATGGGCAAAGAACTCACACAAGAAAACATATCTGGTCCAATTGATCAGATCATATTTTTAAATAGCATCATGGGGAGGTAAGATGTAACTACTGCAGACATCTCCACTATCGCAAAGGATTTCAAATTTCCAGTTTCATCACCACTTATTACCCATGACACCTGATTGTGTAATACAAACCTGTCTTTCTTATCTTTAGGGACTACTGCAACTTGAATGTTGTCTCCTCCTCTGCCCATGCTCTCTCCTGCTGTATCCTTACAAAGCAGGGTGAAAGAGGCTGTCTGTTTCTCCCGGGCTCTGTGGAGATCTGCAGAAGATAAACACTCAGTCCTTAAAAGGCCACCTGCAGTGCCTCCATCCCATAATCAGACACCATCTTGCCTTTTCTCTTTAGTACAAATGGCTGTGCTTCCTGTTATCATCCTGCTCCCTTTCTTTTCCCTTCTCTTTCTGTCTCCCAGAGCTTTGGGAGTCCCTTCTGGTGAGCCTGGTTATCGCTCAGCCAGCAGGTGCTCCTGGATCACATAGGATCCTGGGCCTTCAGCCCTACAGCTGCTTTGAAAATACTCAGGACTGACCTACCTATTCAGAAATAAAAACTAGACCCTGTGAGAGAAGCTGGTAACCCCCAAAACTACCCTCTCTAAGCAGCAGATCCTGTAGGAATAGGCAGGGGATACAGCTGACCCACTTGTACTTTCATGTGAGATCCTCCATAATTCACTTGTGCCATGGTGTTGGGGAAATATGCGATAGCTCAGCCCCTGGTCTGGCAGTCAGAGGAAATGGGGCCTTTCAACATGGGGTTCATCAACTACCATGAGGTTTTTGGAGAGGCTTATGAAGGGTATAAGGATCTCCTGAAACTGCCCAAATTAGTGGCTGTTTCTTGAGGGAGAGATCATTCTCAAAGTTGCCTATGACTTCCCAAACAGTTAAGAATTCAGTGCCAGAGTCAGGCCAACTCTAGGATACAATCTTCCTGTCAGAGCTGATCTACAAAATATATGTTTGAATAACATGTGTCCTTTAGGCAGAGAACACTGGTCAAAAGAAATTGTTTTCCCCCTACTGAATGAAATGCCTACCCTATTCTTTTAAATGCCAATGATATGTGGCTTACCTGAACCAAAAAGAGCATAGAAGAAAGTAAACCCAATACTGCCTTTCTCACTCCTCTGAAACGCTCTTCAGAACTTGCAAGCTCCAAGCAACCTGAGGCCTGCCGTGCTCCGTCTGAGCGGGCAGGATTGTGTCCTGCCCTGAAGTCGATGCTTTTTTCTCTATGAGCGCTGTCTCCGTTCTGTCGTCTGATAGAAATGGCATGATTTTTGAGTTTCTTGGTAGTTACTACTTCTGTCAACTGGAAAAGGGTAAAGCCTTACTCCTGTATGGAATATTAACTGTACTCGGACCAGAACAAATCAGAAAGAAAAAGGCAAAGGAGGGGTCACTGATCTTTAGGTCATATGTCTTTCTCCCTTGGTAAACTGATCAGTAGGGAGCTCCTGCTACCTGAAAAAGCCACACCTCCTTAAACACCATGATGCAGTCCACTGCCCTCTCCATGCCAATGGGAAATGCCCTCCTACCTTCTCCTTGAAGGACACATTTGGCAGGATCGACCTCTTTGGTATTGATGGTCCCATAAACTTCATAACCATGGCATCGGCCTGCTTTCTCCTGAGGGAAAAAGCGTATCTTATCATTTACTCCAGGATGGGCACTGTATTCAACCTTGTTCAGCTTTGTAAGCCGTTCCACTATGACCCCCTTGGTGAGGAGGATCTCCAAGTCCGAGCCACTGGTCAGCAGGTGCTCGGTGAACTCCACTCCAGTGCGCATGTCTGCCAGCAGCTGCTCCAGCTGGGCCTTCTGCAGCTGCAGGGAGTTTTCCTTCTGGATCCGTATGTCTTCCAGCTGCTTCAGCAGCTTGTCCCGGTGCTCCTCAATGGCCTTGATGTAGCCCTCGGAGAATGTTCGCACATCAGCTGCCACAGCCTCCACTCGCTCCTGGAGGGCACTGTTTGTCCCTTTGATCTGTGCCAGGGCTTCCTCCAGGGCCTCCACGTGGGGCTGGGTGCCTCTGAGGAGCTCCCGCACCGAGTCACCATGCTTGTGGATGACATTGCTGGTGAAGTCACAGGGATGCTCGCGGTGCTCGCCCACCACGCAATCCCGGCACACGGGCCGGTCGCAGAGCTCACAGAACAGTCTCAGCTCTTCCGCAGGGTGAGTGGGACACAGAATGGGTTTCCCTATCTGGCTATAGCCTTTCAAGTCTTTTAGGTCCACCATGGTATGGTAAGTCGTTTTCTTCTGCCGCCTAGGGGCAAACAGTGTGAGGAACAAGAAATTAGAGAACATTCTAATGGGCAAAGTCAGTAGTTTTAAGAGCATGGTCTCTGAAGTCAAATCTGAGTTCAGTTCCTTGTTTTAACCTTTTACTAACAATGATCCAAGTTCCAGTTCCTCCTCTGTACAGTGTGGATGATATATACCTGAAAGTACTGCTGTGTATAAAAAATGATAGTAGACTAGGGCTCTCTGGCTTGGACATGACTTTGCAAAAGATTGCAATGCTAAAGCTAAGCCTGAATCTTTCTCCAAACAATTAATCTGGGAAGTTTAGACAAGAGCCAAGTCTACTCCTTACAGTAAGCCAGAGGTGAGAGCATGGTAGAAACTCAGCACCTAGACAGAAACTGTGCCAGATGGCAAAGCAACAAAGCCCGGGCTATCAAAAAGTGGCTACCTGGCTCCAAGAAAAAGTCTCAGCTTTCATCTAAGATTTTGGTTAAGCATTTCCTTTGCCCAGAGCCTCATCATCCAAAGCAGCAAGCTAGAATTTTCCTCAAGAGTCATCTTAACATTATGAGAAAGAGTGAAATCGGTGGTCAGTAGAATCAAAGCTCTTTTAATCCCTTTTCTGTATCCCTCTAGAGATTCAGGGAAATCCTTAGAGAACCAGTGACTGTGCAGAGCTCCCTTGTTAGCATTTTATCAACTTGATGCTTACATGCCTATGTTGGCACCAGAAGAGTGGCTATAGAGAAAAATAGAGTCAGCTGCTTAACTGGCAGCAAGGCAGTCATAATTACAAGTTAAAAATAGAAAGCCTGAACACTACTTATTCTGGTGGTGAGGCCACAAAACAAATGGAAGGAAGTACTCAACTATTTTAGGCTAATCCTAAAACCTTAGCCATTTTATATTCTAATGTCCTGGAATGGGTGAGGGGATTGAGAAGGGACAAAGAGTGATTTCTGTGACCAACTATTCACCAAATGCCACAAAGACATAATCTGCACTCCAAAGAGCACCTACCAGCCACCTCACCAAGCTCAGTGTAACTTTAGGGACAAGGCAAAGGCTGAGGTGGGGTCACACCAATCAGTACCTTATCCTGGGAAGGCAGCATGGATAAGTAGAAAGAGCACAGAATGCAGTCAGAAGATCTGGACTTAAAATTCGGTTATGTTATATATTACCAGCTGTGGGACCTTGGCAAATCACATACTGCCTCAGTTTCCTCAAATAACAAATAGGGGTGAAAACAGTGCCTGCTTTCTATAGGAGTTTCAAGGATCAAATGAGATTGGGGGCAGGAGCTATGCTATTACATTCTCCTCTGTTTTTCCAGCACCCACTGTCACTGTTCAGTATACAAATGATTGCTGATCCCAGAAAACCATGCTTTGTAAAAAGGACTGCAAACATTTGATGATTCTATTATTACTGTGGGTATTATGTAAGGCTGCAGGAGTTAACTACCTTTCTAGGTACTGTTACCACATCGTATGTTGCTCTTTGTCCTTCCAAGGCATTTGAGAAAGCTTTCCTTTCCATTTGTTCACCATGGGATTTCTCTGTCTCGACACCTCTTTTTACTTTGCTCTTAAGCTACACCAGGTGGGTTATCCCGTCTTTACCTATGAGCCTGGCAACAGAAGTGGCAGAGGTTGGCTTTGCAGGTCTGACACCTCTTCTCAACTTCCCTGTCGCTGCACAGGTCACACACCAGGCCCTGGCCTTCCCCACGAAGACTCTCCAGCATCACATCGTTCATGGCCAGGTGATCTATGGTTAAAGCCTTCACTCCACCCACGGGCAGGTCCACCTGAGCATCACATACCGGACAGAGGATGCCGATCTGCGGCTGCACACTGGGTGGCTTGAGTTCCTGAAATATTGACCCCTCAGAGCTTGTGTCAGAGTCTCCCCCTCGAAAGTCCATTACTGAGAAGCGTTCCAGCTGCTCTAGACACGTGGTGCAAACTGTGTGTAAGCAAGGCAAGAGCCTGGGGGCTTTGAAAAGTCCCATGCACAAAGGGCAGTGAGTCCTGACTGAGTTTCCAACGGCAGTCCCGCTGGGGAGTTTGCCCACGAAACGCAGCAGCGGTTTCCTGTTTTCTGACATATTCCCCACGTTTGTGCCCCTTACCAGAAAAGGTCCTGGGCAGTTCTATGCAGGCAATTAAGCCCACAAAAAAGTTGCCACAATTTTACAGAAACCATGGGGACTTCCTCTTTGGCAAATCGAAGAGCAAAGACGAGGTTTGCTCAAAAGAACCACCCACAGATCTACTCAGGAGATTCCTCTCTTTTCCTTGGCATCCCATACCACACACCCACGCGCTCCTCTGCCCCCAGGTCCTCTCCGGAAGCGCTTCCTGATCTAGGTCCTGGGCTGGTCCTGGGCCAACTCCCGACCTCTCACAACCTCTACCACCCCCCTCCCCCTCCCGCCCCACTGTTCCCGCGCCCGACACGCGCCACCCCCACCCCTGCGTGATAAGGTAGCGGGGCCCTCCCGCTCCTTCCCTCGGCCCGGCCCTCCGCAGACGGGAGGAGGGCAGGCGAGAGAGCTGCAAGTCCCCGCCGGTTCCTCAGTTGCCACAGCCTTCCCGCGCCTCCGCCCAAGGTGCCCGAAGGCTCCGGCCCTCCGCCCTCCAGAGTGACACCACCAGCTTCCAATAAGATCTGGAAATCCCACATCTCCGCCCGTCCACTGCGGCGAGGCGGGGAGGAGCCACACTGAGGCCTGGAGTTGGGGCGGCAGGGCCGTCTGGGCCCCGAGGGGAGTAAAAAAGCCAGGCTGGCAGTGAGCGGCGTAGTATAGCCAGCGTCACCATTTTACGGGGACCGTCCCTCTCATTATCGCTTTGGAGACTGGGGAAGCCTGAAGGCAATTTTAAAAGCCGTGCTGATATGCCGCAGGGACGGCCTCCTTGGCGCCCTCGGATTGGTCCCACGAACCCAGATTGGGCCCTCCCATTGGTGGGGGGCGCTGTCAGTCGGCCTCGAGCTCAGCCCACTGCTCCCTGGAAGTCGCCGGAAGAGGCCACCTTGTGGCTTCCCGGGGCTCCGAAGCGGAGACGATGTTTATGCTCCGAGCCAGTGTGAGCCCGCGCGCTCCCATCTGGGTTCCCTCGGTCCATTTTAGTTCAGGAATCCCTCAGGCCTAGCGTGCCGGTGCAAGAGCGTCTGCGGCACGCCAGCTCCTGGCATTTTCTGGGCCTAAGGGCCCCTTAGGCTCTTGTTCTGAGGACCGGTTCGAGAGACGGTGGAACCGAGGGCTAGCGTTGAGGCCTCCGTCCTGCCAGAGCCCGACTCCGGATTCCCTGGGGCTGGAGAAGCCGTTGTTTCACGCAGCTGGGCCAGGGGTGCGGCTTACATAAGGGGTTAAGTATTTGTCACCCCAAATCCTGCGGTTATGTATAGCAGAAACGGAGCAAGTTTGTCCGCTGCATTTATCAGTCGATCAGGGGCGGCTGTGACTGGTCACAATGGGACAGTGGAGGATGTCAAAAAGGGATGAGCAGTTTGTGGGCTCGCAAACTAATTGGGAAGATGAACGAACACCCTTTGCAATTTCTTTGTCTCCTTTAAGTGATCTTACCAGGAAATCTTATTCCACTATATGCGGCCTATATCTGGGATCTGGCAACTAAATCTCCAAAATTCCGGAAATGGTAACACTCTTACCTCCTTACCCTCCAATGTTCTCAATATCTCGAGTCGCTTAAGCCTGACTGGTATGCCTAAGCCTTAAAAAAATGTGGAATCTGGAAGAAAAAAACACCCTCAAAATATTATAAAGCTGTAAAATTTAATAAATTTGAAATGTTTGGCCCTTTCCAAAACAGGACATGCCAAGGAGTCAAATGCCACTTTTATATAAAAATTGCATGTGATTTCAAAAGTATGCATGCTTAACAAAGGTCTTAAAATAGTCCTTCCCTAAATTTGTTCAGCTTCTTGTCCATCTTCACATCTACCTTGACTCAGCATCTGCTTTCTCCACCCCAGTGTACCGATGTGAGTCATAAAAACTAGACTTGGGTTTGCTATGTATTCTTAGTCCTCAGCCTCCTTGACGGTTGATGATGCTTGCTTCATCTCTTATTCATGCTCTATCGCATTTCCCATGGTAGGTGTTCCAAGCTTCTCTTTTTTCTAAGAAGTACTTTATAATTAATATTGTGTTATCTCATTTAATCTTTTAACAACTCTGTGAGGAAACTGAGTCTTGAAGAGGTCTGGTGTCCAGCCCAAAGTAATACATCTGAGACTTGAACTCTGTCTTGCATACCATGTTTAGATTCTGCCCTCATTACCACCACCCTTTTCTTTCCCAATTGTATATGCATCTAATCCCTTATATACTCAGCAAGTAACTCCCTTTAATTGAGTGAGAAAAGCAAGGCTATCTGGAGAACTCCCTCACTTTCTACCTAAAGATCTACCGTTTGTCACAGCTCTCATACTCCTCCTGATGGCCTTTCTTCTATTGCAAGGTTAACCCCTCCAGACCTTTGCTTTATTCCAGCCTCTCCTGACTCTCCAAAACTGCTGCTCCTACATTTACAACAGTCTTTAACTAGCATGTTCTTTCTTCTAAGAGTTATGATCAAGTCCTAAAGGGGGAAGTGAATCCACCCTTAAATGTACTAGCTTTCAACATACTGAACTTTGTGACTCTCACCACATTTCTCAAAAAAGTAGTCTCATCTCCTGCCTTCATCACCATCATTTCATTTTCACCATCACCACCCATTTTTTCCTCCCCTAAATAAAACAGTGTGACGCCTCTTTCCTACTGAAACTTTTCCCTTGTAGATCACAAGTGACCAAGTCATTTGGCCTTTTCTCAATTCACAGCCTTAGTATTCACCATCACTACGTGCTTCCTAATCCTGACAACTTACTTCCTCCTTCACTTCTGCAGTACTTCACTTTCCGGGCCTTCTAATCTATTGGGATGCTTCTCACACTCTCCTTCCTTACTAGTTCCCCTTTTACCCCTTTATCCCTGACCTTTTCTAATTTCCTCTTATGCAGATGATTGCCAGGTCCACACTTCCAGTGTGGACCTCTCTCCTGAGCTTTGGTCACACTATCTATTATAAATCTGCACCCAAATGTGTTCCCATCACCTTAAGCCCCACCCTATCTTAAATTTCATTGAACTTTTTTGCTCACTAAACTGTGCTCTCTGAATTTTCCTATTTTAAGCTCTCAAGGATATCATTCTCCCTTCCAGTTTGAAACCTTATAGTGTTCCTGGGCTCCTTTCCATTTTTCCATATCCAGGCAGGTACCAATTTCTTTCCATCCCCACTGCCAACACTTTAATAAATAGACTTTTATAATGATATAGGACTTTATCACCCTCACCTCTGAATTATCCCTGCCCTCCATTTTTTTCAATCAATCCTACAGTTTTCCCCAATTAATTGTAAAAATAGCATTCTAAAAGCTTTAGTAGCTCCCTGTCTCCACAGGACAAAATCTGGATGCCTGAATAGATCCATATAACTGGCCTTTTAGTTATTGCCTAAACATTGGCAAGCACACTTTTTGATGTTTGCTAAATCTGCAGAATTCTTCCATCTTTATTGTTTAAAGCTACCCTTCCTTCTATGTCAGGCCTGCTTTACACTACCTCTTTGAAACTTTCCTTGTTACTTCAAGATTCAAGCTCCAATAACTCTTTTGCTTGTACTTTTCAGTTTGTACTACATTGTAGTATTGTCTTATTCATTATGTATGTATATATGTGTGTACATATATATGTGTGCATGTGTGTGTGTGTATATATATATATATATATATATACACACACACACAAATCCTTTGTCTCTCTATTAAGATAAAAGAATTTTGACAACCAACCTAGTGCCTACACAGTAGGCATCTAATAAAGACTTGTTATTGATGAGACAGGGAACGATGATCTCATATAAAGAAGAGCAAACAGGATTCCATGCAATCAAGAGTTTTGTGGAAGGTGCAGACTGTAAGTGATAAGGGTTAGATCATGGGAGGGGATTAATTAACTTTTCTCGTTTCCCAGTTTTAGTTCAGTGTTTTGTTCCATCCTTACATACTGCTTTATCCTTCCCGGGGCACCAGCTAGCAACTAGTTACAGGGAAGTGCAGAAGTTACAGGACCGAGGAAAATGATCCATTTGCAGAGGTGTCTAAAGAGTTTCAGCCCACTCCTGCAGTCAAGACAAGGGAAGTGCCGAAGGCAAGAAGGGAGGAAGGGGGGATGACCCACCAGGAAACCAGGCAGGTCCATATTGGATATTTTGCTTCATCAGCACCACTGGAGACTGAGTGAATATATAGAAAGTAAACCGGAGAGCTATGTCAGACTTAATTTCACCATTACACCTGTCCTCGTCACTCACCATCTAGAATACTCCTAAGACCTGTCCTCTGAAGCCCAGCCTCATCTGCTTCCTGCCTCTCCTCTGTCTTCCTCTCCTTTCAGGAGGATCTTTCTTTCAACTGAAGAGCCATGTTTAAGTCTCTCCTTTTACCCCACACCCCTCTCTAGCTCCTGATTTCTCTGCCTCTAAAAAGAGCACACTTGCTTCTCCAATTCTAACATTCAACTCCTGAACACAGTACAATCTGGCTTTTGCTCTCACCATTCTTCTGAAATTGCTTTTGCCAAAGTCCCTAGTGAGTTCCTACTTGCTAAATCCAGTGGATACTTTTCTGTTATTATCCAATAGAATTTGCTATAGCTTTTGACATTGATAAGTTTCTTCTTGAATCTTCTCCTCCCTTGGTTGCCATAACACTATTCTTATTTTCCTTCCACCCTCTGCCCCTCTAACCACTCCTTTTCTTTCTCCCTGTAGTGTGTTACTCCGTCCTTAGCTCCCCTGTCCCCGCGCCTTTTTTTAAGTCTTCATCCTCCTGTGATTGTTGTGGAATTTTGAGGTGATGTATAAAAAGCAGTAGCCCATTTTTTTTATATGGGGGCTCTTTTTACTGTTATATTATTACCCACATCATATCTCTGAATTTACTCCCTTTTTTCCATCCCAAGTATTCCTTCTTTAGTTCAAATTCTTATACTTTGTTTGGATTACTAATTAGTCTCCCTATTTTTAATCCATTCTCTATAGTCCTATTAGAGGTTTTTCTGAAACTCCAATTTGATCATGATCTTCAGTTGCTATTCAGTACCGTCATTTATTCATCGAATACCTCTGAGCACCTAGAATATGTTTTCCCCCAGGACCTATATGGCTTGCTCCCCACTAGAATAGAAGTCTCACGAGGGCCGGGAGTTTGACCATGTGTCAGGATATATCATTGTGTAGAACAAGCAAAAATCGCTGCTCTCATGGAAATGATCTACCTCTGCCAGCCCAACCAACTTCATTTCGTGCACTGCTCCACTCTGACCCCAGCATGCACCCTGAGCTTCAGCTTCTTTTACAATT